TTTTGAAGAGAATTCTCACGTTACATGTTTTTGTCCTAAGTGTTGATTTTTTAGGACATGTGCTGTGAATAGCTCCCATGCAGTTTTCCCCTCAGTACTGTCGAAAATCTTCCTTGGACAGTTTGCTAGCACGTACAGTCTTGTTGTCGTGGCAACACTGGGCTTTTACTCCTCCCGTTGGTCTAGTTTATAACCCTCTGCTCTTTGCGGTTTACTTCATTCCGAGCTGTCGGTCTTTCCAAATCTGAGACAGGCTGCCTGGGTTCACATTCCACCGAGATCGCCCGGCTAGAAGAGGCAGAGCCGGGACTTGAACTCCCAGCCTGACCCGCAGGGCAGCTCTGCTCCAGTCTGCGCCGCCCTCGGCGTCTACCTGCATTTCCAGTGTCCTCTAGAGCAGCTTGGAGGTGTTGTCTTGTAGGCCACGGGCCCGAGTTCAGTCGTGTATTTGAAATGTCTCTGCTATTAGTATTCGACTTTGAGCAAAATCACTCGTAACTTCATTTTTTCCCCTGAGGGTATGAAGAGGCGTTGGAATGAAGTCGGACTCCCACATGTAAAACACATTTCTGATGCTTCTGGGCTGGGGCAGCCAGCTCTCCGTGCACCTGCCAGTTGGTGTGGTGAAGAGAAGGACCAGCGTTACAGGGCTCTGTCACACCGGGGAGGGGGTCACACAGCTCGGGACGGGACTCTGTCACACCGGGGAGGGGGGTCACACAGCTCGGGGAAGCTTCTGGTAAACCCGACCCCCCACTCCCCGCCCTTCCCTTCTCTCCCACTCTCCCTGTCGCCCCTACACAGAATTTTTTTCATCTGAGAAAGAAGGCTCCAGTGAGGGGGAAATTTTGCTGTTCCCTTTTCCAGTATAAACAGACTCAACATGGAAAAAGGCAATATTTGTTTTCCCTGAATTTATCTGTAAATTTAAGCCAATGGAAGTGAAAATCAACACATTTTTTTAAATTTGATACTTCAAAGCTTAAGTCCAGATTGTTTTAGGTTTAAAATACTCAGCTGATGCCAAAGGTCACATGTGAAAACAAACCAATAGAAGATGTTATGCTAAAGTGCTGACGTGTCCTGTGCAGTGGGCTCCGCGGCAGCTCGGTGTCAGGACAGGTAGTCACAGCGGAGCCTGCAGTGACCCCGGTCCCATGTGGGATGAAGGGGACATTTCAGATCAGTAGAGCAGGATGGCCGATCCCTTAAATGATAGGACACCAGATAGACTGAAAGAAAAAATTAAGCTGGATTCCTATATTACTTCTTTTTTAAAATCCTCACCCAAGGATGTGTTCATTGATTTTAGAGAGAGAGGAAGGAAGAGAGAAAGAGAGGCTCACTGATGGGAGAGACATTGAGTTGCTTCCCATATGTGCCCTGACTGGGGATCGAACCTGCACAGGACAGTGGTCCAACCAACTGAGCCACCGGCCAGGGGTATATTATTTCTTATACCAAAGTAAATTCCAGACAGACTAAAGGTTTAAATTTTTTAAATCAGGAAACAAACTAACAAGCAACACCGTGTGTGACTCCTGGGTGGGCACAGCAGAGGTGAGAGGTGGGCTGCAGGTGCTCTTACTGCAGTGTTCCTTGAAACTGGGTACTGTGTGTTTGTTACCTGTTCAGATTTTATTTATAGTAACATTTAGTCCTGGTGTGGCTCAGTGGATTGAGCTCTGGACTGTGAAGCAAACGTTCACGATTTCGGTTCCCAGTCAGAGCACGTGCCTGGGTTGTGGGCCAGATTCCCAGTAGGGGGCGCACGAGAGGCAACCACACACTGATGTTTCTCTCCCTCTTTTTCTTCTTCCCTTTCCTCTCCCTAAAAATAAACTATAAAATTACAGGAACAATGGAGAAAGTACTTTAGACTAACTTTGGGGTGAGGCAGCTCCCTCGTGGCACGGAATAGTGCGGGGATGTAACTGCATGGCCTCTTCGGAGACCAGTGGGGCAGAGTCTGCTGACTATCAGCGCCCACTCTCCGGAGCCCAGCAGATTTCCGCTGGGAGTTTCACACGGGCCCCGGGGCGCGTGGGGAAGGGGTTCCGAGGATGCGCGGTGCAGCCTTAATGACAGGAGCAAAGCACCAGAACCCGGATACGTGAGGTGAGCATCAGCACACGCTGGTTCGTCACGCGGAGCAAACACAGTGCCGCCTGGAGCCGAGGGAAGGAAAGACGCCGACCGTGTGTGCTGGCCTTCGGTCACCGCAGAGCGCGCGCCGGCCTCCTAGGTCGGGAAAGGCCAACGAGACGAGCAGCTAGTGTCGTTTGGGCTCCCTGATGTGTTTCACTCGGAGCACAGAGGGCCTCTGAGTGGGGTGTGCGAGCGAGCGAGTGTGCACACACGCAGCATCAGGAGTGAGTGGGCGTCTCCGAAGGGTGACTGGCGTCTGAAGGCAGTGGGCACATTTGTGTTCATTTTTTATCCCAAACCCGAGGAGCTTTTAAAGTGCACGTTTTTTTTTTATTCACGTTTTTTTTTAAAATTGGGAATGTATTACTTTTTCAAATTAAAAAAATGCTAGTAAAAATACAACTGCCTGCTCTAAATCAGTTGAAATGAATAAAACATCCTTATTATTAGCGTGTATAATCTCACAAACAATACTGAATGGAAACAGCAAGTTGCAGAGGAATATATACAGTATAATGTTCAGTTTTGAAAGTGTGAAAGTTGTCTATGAACGTGGGCAGTGAAAGTACATAAACACATACGGGAAGGACTGTGGTTCAGGAAGCAGTGACGGGGGGAAGGGGCGCTAGGCCACCACCTTCTTTGTTGCTGGCCGTCAGATCCTGAGCAAATACGGCAGAATGTTAACATTAGTCAGATCAGGTTAATGCTGCTTTCTGTGCCCTCCTCCATGTTTTAACATTTTTATTTAAAATGTTTTATTTATCTTGGACTTCTGCCAAGATGAAGACGTAGGTGGAAACACCTTGCGTCCCTGCACAACCAAATCTAAAAACAAAGTTTTAACAAAAATAAACACAACCAAACCACACAGAAAATCGACAATATGGAGTCCAAAGACAACGAAATGCTCAGCTAAACTGGTAAGAGGAACGAAGCCAGCAGCAGAGCAGGTTGGCAAAAAAGATCCCTGAACGGGTGGTGTGCAAGCAGCTGAAGGTGCGGATCCCAGGTGCAGGCTAGCTACGAGCGGACACAGGGAAGAGGCGTGGCTGGCTGTCTGCGGTTGGTAGAGCATTTGCGTGCAGATAAACCAGTGAAGAGGCGAGCATTGAGACCGAACGGTGCAGGGCGGTGGGCTCGCACATTTCCGCTCGGATAAACAGGCCAGGGCAGTGGGACAGTGGGACGGACTGGCGAGCAGAGAGGACTGCCATTGCTCCCTCTCTGACCCCACCCCCACATACAGACAGCATCACAAACCAGCGACCTAAGTTGCCCCGTCCTGGTAAACAACTAAGGCTCCGCTTTTCATACTTAATGGGCACGAACAGACCAAAAATGGCTCAAGAACAACTCAGAGCCCCAGAGCCGATAAATCTAAGTGATGAAGAAATAGCCAAACTTTCAGATGCACAGTTTAAAACACTGGTGATCAGGATGCTCACAGAACTGGTTGATTTTAGTCACAAATTAGAGAAACATATGAAAGCTAAACTAATTGAAATGAATGGTAATGCACAGGAAACCAACAGTAATGGAAAGGAAATTGGGACTCACATCAAGGGAGTAGACCAGAAGGAAGGAAAAAATGACCAAACAGAAAAGAATGAAGAAACAAGAATTCAGAAAAATGAGGAGAGGCTCAGGAACCTCCAGGACATCTTTAAACGTTCCAACATTCGAATTATAGGGGTACCAGAAGGGGAAGAGGAACCGTCACGAGTGGAAACCCTATTTGGACAAATAATAAAAGAACTTCCCCATTCTGGCAAAGGAAATAGACTTCCAGGAAATCCAGGAAGCTCAGAGAGTCCCAAAGAAGTTGGACCCAAGAAGGAACACACCAAGGCACATCATCATTACATTAGCCAAGATTAAAATGAAGGAGAGAATCCTAGAAGCAGCAAGAGCTAAGGGGACAGTCACCTACAAAGGAGTTCCCATCAGACTGTCCGCTGATTTCTCAAAAGAGACCTTACATGCTCTATCCAGCAAAGCTTTCATTTAGAATGGAAGGGCAGATAAAGTGCTTCTCAGATAAGATCAAATTCAAGGAGTTCATCATCATCAAGCTTTTATTCTATGAAATGTCAAAGGGACTTACCTAAGAAAAAGAAGATAAAAAAAAAAAGATGAACAGTGAAAGGACAGCAAACTCACAGTTAGTAACAACCACACCTAAAACAAAAGCAAATTAAGACAGCTAAATCAGGAGTGAACATAGAAATGAAGATCACGTGGAGGATTAGCAACAGGGGAGTGAGAGAAGGAGAAGGGGGGAGAAGGTACAGAAAATAAGTAGCACAGACAGTAGATAGAAAATAGATAGGGGGAGGGTAAGAATAGTAGGGGAAATACAGAATCTAAAGAACTTGAGACACGTGTTCATGAACCAAAGAGGGGGAATGGTGGGAGAGGGGTGTGCAGGGTGGAGGAGAAAAGAGGGGGGGAATAGAACAAATGTAATGGCATAATCAATAAAAAATGTTTAAAAAAATAAAAAAATAAAATGTTTTATTTATCTTTACTGTTTTAAATTTCTATTGATTCTGAATTTATTTATTTATTTTTAGAGAGGGGAAGGGAGGGAGAGAAACATCATTGTGTTGTTGCCTCTCATGTGCCCCCTACTGGGGATGTGGCCTGCAACCCAGGCATGTGCCTTAATTGGGAATTGAACCAGCGACCCTTTGGTTCTCAGGCCAGTGCTCAGTCCACTGAGCCACAGGAGCTAGGGCCCTATTGATTTCTTTCAACATCCCTACTGTGTTCAGTTGTTCTGTGACTCCTACTGAAGTGAGTAATGCTTTCTGGAAATCACAAATAGTCTTTCTGACCCCTGACAACAGGTCGGCAGTGGCAGTGACCCCTGGTCAGCCTGGAGTGCCTCCAAACCTGGAAACTGGGACAGCACGGATGGCTGGGGGGCCAAGCCGGAGGGGACGGCAGCTCCGAGAAGCACTGCCAATAACTGGGACAGCGCCTTCGGTCACCCCCAGGCCTACCCGGGACCAGGTGAGGAAGGGGCTCGGCCGGGGCCGCCCTCAGCATGACTAGGGCTCCCGAGGTACAGCGGGTTCTGCTCTCGGAACTGCTCTCAGGCTCCCGTCACTCGCAGCAGCCCTGCACCGCGCCTGCCGTGGGTCGTCGTTACCTCCCCCGGAGTCGGTGTCGGTCTGGCCGGCTCACAAGGGCAAACGCTGGCAGAGGCCGGGTTCGCAAAGCAACACTTTAAAATCTCGGCGATTAACACACATTTATTTGCTTTTAACTCTTGGGCTAAAAAATGTGTGTACAGATCAAAAACAGTTTATCACCCACCAGTTTATGATCTCTGACTTAACTGTTTCATCTTTTTCTTAGCTACCTGTCTAACTCCCGTGCTATTAATGGAAATACTGAGGCAGAAAAGGGATTTCTAGAAGGGGAAACGATTCAGAAATTGAGGAAGGGCATTTATGTCCTGAAATGAAGTAGCGAAGGTCATCACTTTTAGGATGCACATTGTGCTGGAGTCGAATGTCCTCCCTGGCGAGGGACTTGCCTGCAGGGACCATGAAGGGCACGGAGCCGGCTCCGAGCTCCCTCTGCAAGGGGCTGGCCTGTCGGCAGACCCTGGAGTCACAGGCTACGTGGATGTGGGGAGGCCAGACCGTTGCCCTTCCTTCGTTCTGTAAGGATGTGGCGCAAAAGCCTTGGGCCAGATCCTTCAGCTACTTCTTTTCCTTTTTGTTTTGACATTTGTCTCTCGTGGTGGCATTCAGGGCAGAGATTGGGGGCCATTTCCTGTCACATGGCAAAAGGACGCATCAGACCATAGAGTGGGGGACAGGCCCAGACTGCGGACAAGGAGGGAGGCAGGAAAGCTGGCAGCCATACCTACTGCCACGATTCCACCTATCAGGCTGCCGGTGCTGCTCTGCGACTCCTTGTCTCTCGTTTTCCCTTTCCCCTTCCCCTCCGACCCTGTCCTGTTTCTCTCCATCTGTCCCCTCCTTGCCCTTCTCTCCCCTTTATTATTGTGAACATCAAACAGTTCCTTCTCAGAACTTTCTCCTCATACCTTTTGACCTCCCCAGTCCAGGTATTTGATCTGCTTATTTGCAAGTTTGCAAAGCTGGATTTATCAGCATATAGGCCCCTGGAAGGCCTTCCCTTGGGTCCTGTGCAGCGTTTTTGCGGCCTGCATTCGTGTGAAATTGCTTGGATGGACAGTCCTCTTTCAGCCGTTTCTGCTTTGTCTTTTGCACTAGAAGGCAGAGTCTGCAATTCAGCCTTAAGCTGCCCGCAGAGCCTGCCCTCCTCCTGTCTGCTACACTCCGAGGCACATCCCTTCCTCCTGTTCAGTTCTCCCACCCAGTCCATACTTAAGATCAGAAGATTAAGTCGTTCCCTTTGTATTTTGTTTTTCTTCACTGACCGTGTTCTGCGCCCACCCCCAGCCACTGGTGACGATGACGACTGGGACGAAGACTGGGACGACCCCAAGTCATCCTCTCCCTACTTCAAGGACTCAGAGGCGGCCGAAGCAGGAGGCGTTCAGCGTGGAAACAGTCGTCCTGGTGCCTCGTCCATGAAGCTGCCGCTCAACAAGTAGGTTCAGGGGCGTCGGGAGGCGGGGGCTCTGTGCGGGAGTGGACGGGAGGTACGAAGAGGCTTTTTCTCTTCTCCGTGATTTACGAAGATTTGCATTCTGCTCACTTTTACTTGGATCTTGGCTTGGAGGCTTATTACAGTTTTTTATTTTTTTCATTTTAAAGGAAACACTTGTTCTATTTAATGATCTGCAGACACTATTTTAGCTTTATCAACTCCATGACGTATTAAGGTTTCATTGCTGATGTCACAGGAAAATGGAAAGTAGTAACTGTTTTCAATGTTTTACTAGTGTGTATCGCTTGCCGTATTGCCAGGCCTTGTGCAAAGCGGCTGGCGTGCACTCTCATGTGACCCTCCGGCCCCTTTGCAGTACATACGGTCTCTGTTTCATATGTGGGGGAAACTGAGGCCCAGGGAGGTTAAGTAACTGCCCCGCCTCACACAGGGGTAAGTGACCCGGTCAGGGTTCCAGCCCAGGCCCTCCGTCTCCTGAGCTGTGTGCTCTAAACTGCGCTTTGTGTGTTTAAGACTTGGTTTCCACCTGGATTTCTTTGAATTAAAAAGAGACCGTTTTGAGCAGCACTTGTGGAGGTGCTGCTTCCCAGGAGAGCAGGTGGTCAGTGTGGACGGAGCGCACAGCCTTCCCCGGGGGCAGTGCCGGGCGGGGGCAGTGCCGGGTGGGGGCAGTGCCGCGTGAGTGCGGTTCACACCGGTGGGGCCTGACGGGAGGTGGCCCGTGCCCTGCAGGAGGCTCCTCTTACAGCAGTTACGTTCACAGCGGTTTGACTTTCTAAAGTTACTGATACTTTTTCTCAGTGTTCCAAGCCCATGATTCAAAGCAGATACCAAGGAATGTTAATCTGTGTCTGGAAAAAAATTGTAAACATAACATTTGCTGTGCACAGGGTCTGGCACTGATACACCCTTTTTAGTGCAAAATCCTTTATTGCAAAATCATAAGCATGCAGTTCTGCACACCATATGACACGTTAGGTGAAACTTTGCCGTTAAAACTATGAGTGGTTGCAGCCATGTCCCTGCCCTCCCCGCCACCATGCTCAGGCCGGCCTGGCTTCTGCCGGACCCTGTGTGTCTGGGTCTTGGGCTCTGGGTCTAGACCTGCAGCCGTGCACATGTGTTCACGAAGTCCTGCAAGTCCCCTTGGTGTGTTTAAGTAGCATCAGTGGTTGTCATCTTTCAGCTACCCACTTTTCCTACCTCTCTGTCTAGTTTCTCCCATTATTGTGTATTTTTATGCTCAGTTGCTTGTATGGTAAAAAAGTAGTCATTCATTATTGACAGTATCCTGTTCCTTAGAGTCAAATTTGAAGTTTCCAGTATGGTCAGTAGTGATGTGCATAACTCTCTGTTTAAATAAACCTGAATACAGAGTATACTTAAAACCCGTTAAAATAGAATGTATCTCTTCGTCCTTGTTCGAAAGTGAGGAGGCAGAGACTGAGTCACATGACTGGCCAAGTTTCCGTGGCTGGAAAGTGAGGTGGTGGCAGGTATCCAGACCTGGGCTCCACCTCTTGTGCTCCCGCCCCACCGCTCGCTGCGGCCCTCTCGTGTGCTGTGGGGTCTGGAGGAAGTTGGACGACCTGTTTGAACCTCAGTTTCCTCCTCTCCCAAATGAGGGGGTTGGCTTTAAGAATTTTCTGCTCTAAAATTTCATTCCAGGTTGAAACGAAATCAAAGCAGTCCTAATTTGCATCTGCACAAATTTCTGCAGCCCAAATTGGCCCTGTCTTCTTTAGAAGTAGCACTTCCGGTGGCTGTGTGTAGGTCCCAGCTTTTCTCCAGTTTCAGAAATTTGCTTTGGATTTAGATTTAGTTTCTGGAAGTAGCCAATTTTATTATGTTTCGGGTCTCTTATGAAGAAGACTGCTTTTCTTTTGTATCTTGTGGACTGTTTTTATTTTTCTTGTGGCAGTTCCATTGGAAAACAGCCCCAGTGCCTGTGAGCACGGCCGTTTCTGCTGGGCAGCTGCGGCCTCCCCAGGGAGCGAGTTGAAAGGCAGCTTAAACTCGGATGCACGGGTGCCGTGGGTGGCGATTGCCTGCACACCTTGTTCCCATTGCCGTGCTCACAGACATCTCTCCTGTGCCCCGGGGGGCGTTTTTCCGGTCTGCCCTTCACTCTTCGTGGGGAGATGAGTGTTTCAGACCCAGTTAAGCAAACAGAGCACCATAAACATCACACCTGGAGTCACACTGCCCTTACCACATAGGACCTACTGAAATGACTGTTGGCCAGTGGACAATCTGATTGCACTAGGTTTCACTTACCACAGTTTCCTAGTTCTGGTCCATCTGAAAGACAGAGCAAGGTTAAAATGTTTGGGTTAAGCAAACGTGGACGAGAGCTGCATAATTCTTTTAAAGAAAGACCAAATGCTCACCAGCCATTTGTCTTCATGATTAGGTTTCCTGGATTTGCAAAGCCTGGGATGGAACAGTATTTGTTGGCTAAGCAACTAGCAAAACCCAAAGAGAAAATCCCTATCATTGTAAGTTTGTTCATTTTTATTTATTTGCTCTGTTTCTAATTAAGCTCTTTTGTGTGCTTTAAAGCTAAGAGGATTATTAGTCATTTGGAAAGCAGTCTTAAACACATTTAATTTGCCAAATAACTGACAGTATGTGTTAGTATTTTGAGAGTACCAAAGATAATTAACATAAAGTAATGCCTGCTCTTTATATTGTTTAGATATTCTCTACCTTTCAGATTTAGTTACTGAACCAACAATACCAGCAGTACATATAGTCTTCTAATCATTTTTCAGCTCTACGTTGTCTTGAAGTATCTTTTAAATGCTGCTCTTCTACCAGCCATATAGTTTGAGCTAATAAACCCAGATTAAATATTTAGGTTTCTTCCTGGCAAAGTGTATGCATGTTATCAGAAAAAAGTGCATTTTCCACAATGTTCTAATAGCCTTTCTTCCAGTAAACCAGCCCTCAGGTCAGAGTAAGGAGCTAGCAAGTGAAAGCTTCGAGTTAAGGACACGTTAAGAGTATCTGTCTTAATAACTTGGTGGTTATGTTTCACCCCAACGCTGATTGCTGGTAGACTTCCTGTCTAAGCTGGGTACAGCCGATATTCCCAGATGAAATTCCAGAAGAGAGGACGGTGGCTGGTTTCTGGCCCTGTGGACTCTGCCCTGTAGCCATAGGTGGGCGAACCCAGAGTGAAATCACCGTGGACTCAGAGGAGGACGAGGGAGCGTCTGGCCTCACTCTGTAGTCCCTGGGTCCCTGGCAACTGGAGAAAACTGCAAGAATGATAGTGGACTTATTTTATTACTTGTTCCTACAACTTTGAAACCTAGAAACCTCCAGAAAGAAGGGATGTGACCAAGATCCCTATTTTTCTTCTTTCCTCAAAGCAAATTTGGGGTAATTGTCTTCTGAGATGTTCCAAGGCAGATATTCTTAATGATGTCACTGGATTAAAATTATTTTAATTTAGTTTTTCTTCAGACTTTTTGGTGAGCACTGAGCATGTGTCATTGCTCTTTTCATTGAATTTAAATCCCCACACAGTTAAGAGCCATGGCCCTGCCCCTCGGATTCTCAGCAGGAGCTTTGTCACAGCGTGGAAGTGGTGGGACAGAACCGAAGGGCCCCAGGATTCAGGTCCCAAGTGTCTAAGGTAGAACTGGGCCGTGTGCCCTGCAGGCAGGCTTGCCTACGTGGGCTTCTTGCCTGGAAAGGTGACCCAGGGAGGCCGTCATGTCTTAGGATACCTGCGAGAAAGCGGAGCCGGTTCTTTGCTCTTAAGGCCCAGCAATTCCCCACCACCGTCACCACTGGTAAAGTGTGACCCCTGGGTGTGGCGCCCTCCTAGGTCAGAATTGCCTCTCTCGTCCCAGTCACAGTGATGAGTCCCCCCGAGGCTCCTCTGAGAGACTCTGCTCTGGCGCTTGAGGACATTTCTGGGTCTGGGCTCTTCCTCCAGGGGCGAGGGGATGGGCAGAGTAGCTCTTTGTCTGAGACCTTCTCTTTGGTCTCATTAAAATTCCCCGGGCCCCAGCCGCCGTCCTGACCTAATAACCTGTGAACTTTCATACCCCAGACCTCCCTTTTCTCTCCCCTCCACCTTTAGAAAGAGTTGGGACTGGGTGTCCAGAAAACGCGAGCGTTGACAGTTTGGTGGCAGCCTGACACCGTTCAGACATCCGAGGGTGATTTTCTATTTCACCAACTCTCGGCCTGTGATAGATGAGAATTTTTTTAGAAGGTAACCCTTTATATGTGTAACTAGGACAGCTGGACTAGAGAGAGAAAGACCGTGTTCCATCCTGCACCCACGGGGCCGCGGGGAGTTGGCCTCTGCTCTGCACGGCCACGTGGCCACGTGGCCAGCGAAGGGCGTGGCCGGCAGTTCTGCAGGACGACCTCGGCAAAACGAGGGTGTTGGGTTGCTTCTCCAGCAAGGGCAGGACTGACCCCCGAAGGACTCTGGGTCTTAAAGAGAATCACTTGATTCCCAATTTGACTCTCATTTGATACATCAGCTTTGCTGACTGTTTCTCCTTGTAACGAAGTTAACGCTCCTCCCTGGCACGTTGCGCAGGTCGGCGATTACGGCCCGATGTGGGTTTACCCTACCTCCACTTTCGACTGTGTGGTGGCGGACCCCAGGAAGGGCTCCAAAATGTACGGGCTGAAGAGCTACATCGAGTACCAGCTGACGCCCACTGTGAGTACCCGAGGCGTCAAACAAGGGTCACGCTTCTGCCACTGATTGCTGGTTACCGGCTACCAGCATTTTTCTCCATTTTCTCTAATCAGCATTGTAACTTTTTCCCCTCTTTCTCTTATTTTGTAGAATACTAATCGAGCTGTAAACCACAGGTATAAGCACTTTGACTGGTTGTACGAACGTCTCCTGGTTAAGTTCGGGTCAGCCATTCCCATCCCTTCCCTTCCAGACAAGCAAGTCACAGGTGAGTGGGCGTGACCCTGGACTTGGGTGCCGAGCACAAGGCTCTGGCGAGCGTTTCCTGGTGGGAATTGTCATGGCATGTTCTGTCCTCTGGAGCAGCCAGACGTGGGGGTTTGGAAATGGTAGCCCGTACAGCTGTATGTGCCGCACGTGTGTCTGGAGGTTGCCCGAGCACCTAACAAGAAGGTCTCGCGAGCTTTCCCATCGGAGGTCTTGGACACAGGTCTCACGTTCTGGCAGCCATTGTGTCGTTACTGCTGCAGCCTTCCCTGTGGGAGGAACGTGTGCGCTTTTTAAATGTGAAACTGGCACCTGAGGAGATGGCAGTGATCCTCACGGTCAGACGTGGGGATGAGAGTCTGTGGCCGGCGGACACGCACACGTGTGTGGTCCAGGTGTGGAGTTTCCATTAGAAGGGGCGAGCGTCAGGGCGCAGCCGCGGGGAGTTGCCCGGTTTTCTACCCAGTTATTTAGTGACTTCGAATTTGGATGTTTTTATTTTCCATCCGTCATTAGCCTCCCTTCTTTCCCATTGAGCTAAGGTGTCGTGTTTCCCCACCAGCCGGACCCCAGGGAACCTGCTCAGTGATCCACGGTGCTGCCAGAGCCCTCTGCAGACACGCGGTCAGAGAGCGGATGTTTCTGTGTCTCTTCTGAGAACTGCCGTTGATTTTTGTTTAATCTCCTAGTGTAGAGCCTGGAGGATCAGGACTCAGGACTCAGGATGTTTTTCTTAGAATAAAAGTTTACAAAGAAGCTGGGCTATACTGAAGACCGGAAATAGTTTTAGGATGTAGCTAGACATTTTTCGGATAGGTGAAACTGGCAGGTACGGAAAGGAAAGGGTTGAAGATGAGTGTGAGTTTTGAAAGGTCTGAGCTAGACAGGCCTCTGAGACAAGTGGACGTCCACCGGCTAACAGAGACCCGGTGAGGGGAAGAGTGGACAGGGTTTGGTCCCCACTCAGTGGGAGCTGAGTCAGTTCAGAGAGGAGCTGACAGTCCTAATCAGCCAGACGGCAGAGCCCGCCTCAGATACTTTCCCTGCCGCAGTGCAGTGTCCCCTCCGAGCCGCCGTCTCAGCTCAGAGACGCGCTGAGTGCGCTCCGGTCGCTGTGCTGAGCTGCTGAGCAGCGGTGGGAGTCTGGTCCGCAGCTTGCTCTGGTCCGTGGTGAGATGCAGACCACTACTCTGGAGTTAGAGTTTGTAACCTTAGGATAAGAAAGGCGTGCTCTTCGAAACTTTCCTTTGTACTTTGTTGTATGTTTTATGTTTCTCTGAGTTTCTTTGAGGAGATGGAAACATTTGTCTTTAAAAAGTTGTTTCGATTTTGATTTTTTCTTAATTTTGAAGTTTCAAGTTGTCACGGCAGAGTGGAGAGTGGGGCCGGGGCGGTGCTGCCTCATGGTGAGCAGACCTTCGCCCTTCCCCGGGCGGCGGCGACTCCCGAGCACCGCTGAGCGGGCACCGCTGAGCTGGAGCCCGTGGGGGGCCGGGCGGGGCGTTGCGGTCTCCTCCCACCCAGGGCGTCACTGTGCCCCGGTTCTGTGCCCAGGTCACATGGTCACGGTCCTTCCCTTTTGTCCTTCTACTGTTTGAAAGTCAGCTTTCTTTTTAAAAATTTAGATTTCTTTCCATGAAAACTTCAGTCTGCCTTTCTCTGTGTTTTCAAATTTCATTTTGTTTCCTGAATGTTATTCTCTCCTTCACAGCTCGACTGGCACAGTTTGTGAGAGTCGAAGTGAGTGGGTTAATGAGTTGTTTTAGGGCTAAGGAGGTTTCTCAGATCACTCAGGTTTTAATACATTGTTTATTCTAAATCAGATAACAAAGCGCCATTTTAAAGCATCATAGAGTCATGGTTCTATTCCCATGTTAAGGTTTGTTTCTTTAAAAAAAAAAAATTCAGGCCTGAAGCCAGGGTTATGTCCTAGAAAAACCAGAAAGCAACAGCCCCTCATCCGAAGAAAGTAGAGCTTTGATTCACTGGCTGGGACGTGTGCCGAGGAAGCGCAGAGCACAGAAGCCACTTTATCTCCCCCTCGTCTTGCTCGCCTCCTGCCCGCGAGGCCACAGATCGTTATTATATAAACTTCCCTCTCACTGAAGTCCCAGAAAACTGAAGGAACGCCGAGTCGATGATGTCACGACACTTCTGTGGACGGCTGATTGGTCCGTGGAAAACTTAGAGCGAACATTTTATGTTGTTGTTCATAGGTTTGTTCTTTGTGAAATAATACGGAATGAATCTGGTTTGACTCCTGGGTGGAAAACTGGTATATTCACTTTCTAGTGAAAAACATAAGTAAGGTTCATTCAAAATGGGGGAACGGAATCCCTCCCCCCACTTTTCTTACATTCTCTGAAACCTGGTGTGGAAGTCTCAGGAAGCACACAATCCTTCTGACGTCATCATTTGGAAATAAACCAGCTGTCAGAAGAATTTCAGGAAGAATCAGCCAGTGAGTAGGTCTTGCTGTAATTCACTTGTTCGCTTGTGACGGGGAATCGGCATATGCAGCTCAGGTCCACGCCCACGTAGTGGGTCTCTTCTGTCCGAGGTGGGGGTGGGGGGAAGGGGTGTCACCTACTCCCAATGGTGGGACTGTTGGTGCACAGCCTAAGCGTGCCCAGTGCTTGACTCTCTGCCCCCAGTGTGTGCAGGACTCGAAACGCTCGCACGCGAGGAGCCAGCCTGGCCCACGAGGCTGCCCCAGTGCCAGGCTTTCCGCTAACGGGTTTGTGGTGCGTGGGTCGGTGACGCTCCTCTCAGAAGGCCCGTGCGTGCTGGTGCTCACGAGTCCTGAGGGCGAGTCCGGGCTGCGTTTTTAAAGTTATTTCCAGCTGCCCTTTTATTCCTGTTTTTGCCTCACTGACCTGGCTGAGACTTCATACGACACCCAATAGAAATGCGGAGAGCAGGCATCTTCGCCTTGTTCCCTGTTTCAGGGAGAAAGCACTGTCTTTCACTGTTATGTAGGATTAGCTTTCAGGTTTTTTGTAAATGCCCTTTTATCAAATGAGGGGACTTCCTTCTATTCCTAATTGGCTGAAAGTTTTCTATGTGAATGGATGCTGAGTTTGTCGGATGTATTTTGTATATCCGTGGAGGTGACTGTGGGATTTTTCTTTATCTGCAGAGTCAGCCTTGCATTCCTGGGATGGACCTCACTCGGTCGCGATGCTCTGCTTGTTTCTATATGCTACTGAGTTCCGTGGGCAGATTCTTGGTTGAGGAATTTTGTGCCTGTGTCACGAGGGTTGTTTGTGCTGTCCGGGCATTGCTGGCCTCGTGAGGAAACTATGGAAGCAGTCCTTTTCTGTTTCTGGGAGAGACTGTGTAGAACGGTATTTCTTCCATAAACGTTTGATGGGATTCACCACTGAGACTGTCTGGGCCTGCAGCCTTCTCTGCAGGAAGGTTGTCGGTGTGAATCTCCTGAATGAATCTAGAGCCACGCACGCTGCCTCCTCTTCCGCGAGCTTTGCTGGTTTGGGCCTTTCTCGGAATTGACCTGTTTCATTGAAGGTGTGGAGGGGAAGCATGTAGAGTTGTTGTCGTGGTAGCCACTCCTTCAGTCCTGGTTTTCGTGTCAGTGTCTCCTCTGTTTTCTTGATTTTGTTGACTTTCTCTCTTTTCTATTTCGTTATTTTTCCTCTTTTATTATCTCTCTATATCTGCTTGCTTTTATTTAATTTGCTCTTTTCCTAGGTTTTTTTTAAAACATGGAAACTGAGATTTCTTTTTTATTAGAGGCATTACATGCTACAAAAAGTGCTGGTTTAACATAAATTTTGATATGTTGAATTTTCCTATTCATTCAATTAAAAACTAGTTTTTAACTTCCCTTGAAATTTCTCGACCCTTGGCTTATTTAAAAAATATGTTTAATTTACAAATATTTGGGTATTTCCCACATATTTTTGTTGTTGTTTGAGAAACAATTTTATTCTGTTATGCTCAGAGAGAAGCATACTCTCTCTGATTTTTTACCCTTTTCAATTTGAGACTTCTTCCTCGCCTGGCATACGGTCTGTCCCGGGGAGTTCCACGCCCGCTGCAGAGACTGGGTTCTGTGGCAGCGGGCGGAGCACTCTGTCTTGTCAGCCGGTCTGGGGGGCGGCAGGGGGGGAGGGCGTGCAGGCTTCCGCGTCCTTGCCAGCGTTCTTCTGTGCTGACAGTTACTGAGAACAGGGAATTGATGTCTTTGACTGTTACCGTCACACTATTTATTTCTCCTTTCCGTTCTGTCCCTTACAAAGTTTGTAATTGTCATACCTTCTGGATACGTGACCCTTTTATCATTACGAAATGTCCCTCCTTTGTTAGAGTCCGTTTAGTGGGATATTGATACAGCTTCTCCGGTTTTCTCATGTGACTGTTCGCGTGGCGTATCTTTTCCCAGCCTTCTACTTTGAACCTGCTGGATCTAAGTTATATCTCTTTTTGTCTGCAGATCATTTTTATCAAGTCTGACAATCTCTTCATTATGATCGGAGTTTTTAGACCATTTATATTTAATGTACTTGTTAGCCCAGATTAGATTTGTATTTGCCATTTTGCTGTTTTTCTCTGTGTGTCTTGTTTGTTCCTGTTTCTCCTTTACTGCCTTTCTTTTATATTAAATACTTTGTTTTTTTTTAAGATTTTATTTATTTATTTTTAGACAGAGGGGAAGGGATGGAGAACAGAGGGGGAGAAACATCAGTGTGTGGTTGCCGCACACGTCCCCGACTAGAGACCTGACCTACATCCCAGGCATGTGCCCGAACTGGGAATCGAACCAGCAAATCTTTGCTTTGCAGTCCAGCTCTCAGTCCACTGAGCCACACCATCCAGGGCCATACAAAATACTTTCTCATGTGTTATTTTAATTCCTCCCATTAAAAAAAAATTTTTGCCCTCACTCAAGGATATGTTTATTGATCTTTAGAGAGAAAGAAAGGAAGGGAAGGAGGGCAGGGCGGGGGGCGAGACATCCGTCAGGTGCCTCCCACACACGCCGCAGCCCAGGGGCGGGCCCTGACCCGGCTCCAGGTTTCTCTCGTTTTCAAAACTAAATTTTTAAGTTATTTTCTTACTGGTTGCCTCAGTGGTTATAATATACATTGTTTTGTAACATCACAGTTCATTTCATACTACTATTAACTTAATTGCAACAAAGTTAATAGGAATTCCCTGAAATACAGTTTGATTCTCTTCTCTGTTATTATCATATATACATCATACATTTTTCATGTTATATATATAATATGTATATATGATGTATGTAAAATGTATGATGTATATATGAAGTATATACATATATTTCATATGTGTGTGTATATAATATACATCTTACATTTTCATATATAAGTATATTAATCCAACAGTGTAGTGTGATCATTACTGCTTTCTACATTCTTAGGTCCTTTAAAGAAGTTAAGCGAATTAAAAAAATAGATCTATACTGGGTGGGGGGGTGGGCTGGGATGGGAGTAAAAGACAGAAAACTGTACTTGAACAACAATTAAAATAAAATTAAAAAAAAGAAAAATAGAGTCTTTTATATTAACCCACATGTTTTTGGTGCTCTTCATTTCTCCGATAGTTTTAGGTAATTTCCTCTTAGCCTGAGATAGCATCCTGTGAGCCTGCAGAACTTCCTTTACTATTTCTTGTGATACAGGTCAGCGCTTAATGAATTCTGTCACTTTGTCTGGCAATGTCTTTATTTTGCCTTTATTTGTGAAGGATGCATTTATTGGGTGCGGAATGCACGGTGACTGTGTCTCCCCACTGCCCGCTGGCCTCCACGGTGTCGGATGACCAATCAGCCTGTTCTGTTGGTCACGCAAACACACACGTGTGCGTTCACCCCACCGCCCATGATGAATTGCTCTTCACTTCCTGTTCTCAAAATTGTCGTTTCGTTTTTGTCTTCCAGCAGTTCGATTGTGCTGTATCTTGGTGTGGATACTTTATATTTATCCTACATGGGGTTTATTGAGCTTCTTGGAAGTGCGAGTTAAAGTTTCCCATCAAATTTGGGAAACTTTTCCACATTATTTCTTTGAATATTTTTCTTCTTTCTCCTCCTTTGGGTTTCCTATCACAAGTGTGTTGGTGTGCTGGATGTTTTCTGAGGCTGTGTTCTTCAGATTAAATAACTTCTGTTGACTGACTTTCGGGTTCATTCATTCTTCTGCCTGTTTGAAACAGCTGTTAAACCCTTACAGTGGATTTTTTAAAGGTTTTGTTTATTTATTTTTAGACAAGGGGTGAGAGAGGAAGAGAAACATCAATGTGTGGTTGCTTCTCGAGTGCCCCCTACTGGGGACCTGGCACACAACCCAGGCATGTGTGCCATGACTGGGAATTGAACCTGTGACCTTTTGGTTCTCAGGCCAGCACTCAGTTCACTGAACCACACCAGCCAGGGCTACAGTAAATTTTTAACACCAGTTACTGTATTTCTAGCTTCAGAGTTTTCATTTGATTCTTTTTTAAATAATCTCTGTCTTTTTTAAATAATCTCTGTCTTAAGAATCTCTATTTGTTGATTCCTTGTCATACTTTCCTTTAATTTTTTGAACATGGCTTCCTCAGGTTCTTTGAAAATATTTATAGAAGCTTCTTTGTCTGCTGTTCTGGTTTCGTCTGCTCAGTTCGGCATCCAGCAGCACCTGGAGGCCATTTCTCCGGACTGCTTTTTTCCCTCGGCGTGGATGGTACTTGGCAGTCTCTTAATTTTTTTGTTGAACCCTGAACATTTTGGAGAATATATTTTAGCAATTCTGGATTCTGATTTTTCTCTCTGAAGGTGGTTGTTTCTGCTTTATTTTTGTTTGTTTGTTTGATTGTTTTGTAAGTAACTTGCCTGGGCTAAATTTTTGAAATTTGTCTCTCCTGCCGCTCTAGTGGCAGTAGTGGTAGTAGTAGTAGTAGTAGTAGTAGTAGTAGTAGTAGTAGTAGTAGTTAGTAGTAGTTAGTAGTTAATAGTAGGTGGTAGTAGTAGTGGTAGTAGTAGTAGTAGTTAGTAGTTAGTAGTAGTAGTAGTAGTAGTAGTTCAAAGTTGGTTCCCTAGGGCTCACCGGGGTCTGTGTGTACTGGGGGCATGCCCCCTCGGGCCGGCCAGGCTCTGCCCCCACCAGTGGACCTAGGTGTGAGGGGGAGAGCACGCTCAGAGCTCCAGTCATCCTCAAGCCAGCCCTGCCTTCCGCTGTCTCGAGGCCCTTTTGTGTCTCCTTTGCATGCATGCAGCCTCGGAGTTGGCCAGCCGTGCGTGCCTGCTCGCACCCCATCACGTCTCCACTGGTTTTGCCTCAGCCTCAGCCTGGCGTGTCCTGGCTCAACCGTGTCTCCTTGGCGAGTGGGGTTGCTGGTGCCCCCTGTTCACCAGCCTCTGGGTGGTTGCTGCCCCTGCTGAGCGTGGGCATCTCCCCACCACTGCAGGTCAAGGGAGGCTCTTTCCTCTAGGAATGCCGCAGCTGCCCGTGTTCACAGCCCGAGCCACCCTGGCAGGCCCTCGTATTGGCCAGGTAGAGGGTGGGGAGGTTGGGGGTGGGGAGCCCCCAGCCAGAACGCCACAGATTTCCACTGTGTATGCCTGTGCCTGACCCTGACACTCAGCATTTTTGCGAGCACAAACACTTCTCAGGGGGCCGTTTGCCTTGGGCTGATTTCCAGAGCACTGATTGTTTCGTCTGGGGTTTGAGTTATTTTGCAGGGACTGGGTTGGCTGATTGCCTCACTTGGCTGCAGCTGGAATTTCCACCTCCTGACTATGACTTTGGATGGCAGCTTATTAAACCCTCATTGTTCACTTGATATTCAGTGTGTCAGTCTTGTTCAGCTCATTTTCTACTTTTAAGACAGAAATATGATGTATTAAGCTGTTTTAGGATGGTCATAAGTTCTAGAATAGCAACTTTCGTTATTGCATTTGTGGAAAAATTGCTTTTTCTATTTCCATTTTAAGTAATTCATAAAAAATGAAAAAAATTATAGTCTGAGCTACTTTGCATAAACACTAAGTTTAATAAATTTGTATATCTGAGGTTATATTGCACTTGGTCACATTTTTATAAATACAGAAATTTCATGTACTTTGTAAGAAATACGTATTAAATTCAACTGTATCACCCCTTACTTGCCTATAGGGCTTAATATGGCTACGTACTACTTTATAAGAAAGAGAAAGTTTTTCACATTGAAATAGGATTTACTTCTAATTTATAAGTACTCCAGGGATCCTTGAAGAAAGTCGCACTTTGAAGCTGTAGTATTCTTGTCCCAGTTAAAAGGTCTGTTCATCTGTCAGATTGGAATTTCACACTTACTTGTTTAAACGGAAAAGCCTGTGGTTCTGGTGGGTCTCTGAGCGGTGGCTGTGCTGCCCGTCCTTAGGGTGGTGACCCGTTACCACGGTGCACACGTCCCGAAGCGGCTCTCTGCCACGTAGCCTTAGCCGTATCGGTGGCTCTCAGCTGTGGTAACAGTGACGCGTTCCAGGCACACGGGTGCCTCATTCTCGGCGTGTCCCTTGCAGGTCGCTTTGAGGAAGAATTCATCAAAATGCGCATGGAGAGGCTCCAGGCGTGGATGACCAGGATGTGTCGCCATCCGGTGATCTCGGAGAGCGAGGTTTTCCAGCAGTTCCTGAACTTCCGGGATGAGAAGGTAGGACATTTGATCATGACAGGCTCAGCGTGTGCTGGGATGTGACGTTCACACCGGTTTTATGTCTGAGAAGAGGTGGGGTCCCATCGGTTAGTGGGGTGTTTCTCATTTCCTCCCAAGACAACGAGGGGACAGGAGCTGAAGTCGCGGCTGTAGGCAGGTGGTCACGAAGGATGGAAGACCGACTCGCCAGGACGGTTGTCAGTCAGCAGGGGACAGATCGGTCAGAGTCGGTGCACAGGGCGAAGGCATCTGTTCCTGGGTGCTTAAAAGAAAGAGGTCAGACCTGAGCTCCGCAGGGTCCTGACTGTCAGTGTGAAGTGGGGGAAGAGGAGTGAATGGTCATCTGTGATCACATCGTGACCTCACAGTGTAACGCATTTCGGAAGGAAGAGTGGGTTCGGAATTGAACCGTTCTTCTCAAAGCAAAGCTGTTTTTCCGGAACTGTAGTTGGGAGTTCAAAGTAAATGCTGACCTGTGGGCATTCTTTTTTTTCTTTTTTGCCAGTGGTCATCTGTTCTTTTTTGACAATCGAAAATTTTGGCAGTTGGGCATCTCATTATTCTCAGAGAAGATAGTTTTCTCTCTCAATAAGCTTTTAATGCACTTTTAAGGCATCTTCTCTAAAAGTGTTTTCTTCATTGTTTTCTCCTAACAATTATTACATATCCCGGAAAATAAGAATAAAAGCAAAAGTTAGCTCAAATGCCAACAGATACAACATAAATTATGATTCTAGAAAAACAGTCATGAAATGATTTTTGTGTTTGATCGAATAGTAGAATAGTGTACGCCTTGTTGAAACTTGGAGACAAGAGACATACTTTTTTGCTAAATTTCTTCGTAGTACTTTTTCCTACTTAAAGTGTCTACATTTACAATAATAAGCCTAAAAATCAGGGCTGCTTGTTTTTATAGACATATGCGTACACTTAGCATAATGTAAGTATTTGGGCCTTACTTTCAGTTACTGCTTATTTCTAGAATTGACAGGCTCATCTAAGCATGTTGTATGTAACCAGGTGGGAATTAAAAACACTGAGGTGTTTCAGCATTTCCTTGTGAGTTTGTATCTGCCATGGGTCTAGCCTTACAGACGACTCTGGTTTTTCTGGCAGGATGTGCTGTTCGGTCACAGGATGTCAAATTGCTATACTGGGTCCTTTGTGTTGTGTAAAGCAGTTTTGTTACTTTGTAGTTACAAAAGCTCCCTTGGAGGTCGTTGCCTTCCTGGTGACTCAGGACTTTAACATGGGTTTATTTGATAACTTTGGCAAGGATTTGATTTAGAAAATACTTCAAAAGTTCATGTTTTATGCAGAATATTATTAAAAATAATAATCTAGCCCTGGCTGGTGTGGCTTGGTAGACTGAGCACTGGCCTGCGAACCAAAGGGTTGCTGGTTCGATTCTTAGTCAGGACACCTGCCTGGGCTGTGGGCCAGGTCCCCAGTGGGGGCACTGTGAGAGGTAAGCCCACAGTGGTGTTTCTCTCCTCTTTCTCCCTCCTTTCCACTCTCTAAAATTAAATAAAATCTTTAAAAAATAATGATAATCTAGATACTGTTTTTGTTTTTTAATGACTGCCACCTTGAAAGATTGGTCACCTTACACAGAAGTGACATGAACAACAGAGGAGCCAGGGCCCGGAGCTCCAGTCCCGGCTCTCTGGGGGACTTCCTCTGGGCTCGGCTTGGCACTTTGGGTCTTCGGGCCACGATTTCATCACCTGCCAAATGACAGGGTGAAACAAGATAATCACTGAAAACTGATTTTTGTGGTCAGTAATAGCTCATGTAGATGAATGGACACTGAGAATCCAGTGAATCTACAGAAATATTACTGGAAATAAGTGGTTATAAGATAGCTGGCTATAAGACATTGCATATCTCTGTATTGGCAATAAACAGAAAATGAAAGTCTGTAGTTTAGATGGTCGTCTGTCATCTAAACTGTCATTTACAGTGCTATGAAAAATATGTAGGAGTAAATTCAAGAAGATTTACAAAGATATACATAAACAAACTATGAAATATTGTTGAGAAGAATAAGTGTCCCAATGTTACTGTCTGTCTCATGGGTTGAGGGACAGTAATGGTGTCCTGTGTAGAAATCAAAATAAGTGTCCCAATGTTACTGTCTGTCTCATGGGTTGAGGGACAGTAATGGTGTCCTGTGTAGAAATCAAAGCCCTAAGCAAAGCCAGGACACTCTCGAGAAAGGAGGAAGTGGGAGGAGGACTTCACTGACCAGCAAGACTCCCTGTAAAGCCAGAATTTCACAAGCAAGGCAGACAAGCAGACCAGCAGAATGGGACAGAGTGGACACTGGCTCCGTGCCACGGACGATGATGCTGAGTGCAGTCGGGGAAGGACAGTCCTTTCAACAAATGGTGCCCAGTCCACTGAGTGCGCCCCTCCTCACAATGTACTGTTGCTCTCGGTAGGGCTGCTACTGGCATTGAGGTTATGTTTTGAAAACGAGGACTTATCTGTGAAATGATACAGGTGAAAGATATTATAGCTGAGATTCCATTTAAATAAGTAAGAAAAACAGGCGGAATGGAGGAGAGTAAATAAAACTGGCAAAATTTTGTCATTGTCGAGGGCTGAGTCTGCGGGGGGTTGTACTTTTCTTTTGCACCTTTGTGTATGTTTGGAAGTTTCCAGTGTGTCAAGTTTTTTAAAAATCAGTTCCAGATCTCTCTTGGGTCTGACTGTGAAAGGCAACACAGTGCAGCTTCTAGAAGGAAACATGGGGAGGGGGTGCTTCTGGAATAAGACGCAGAAACGCCTAGTCACACAGGAACGGGCTGGAAAACTGGACTGCGTTAAAACTGAGAATTTCTGCCCTGGCTGGCGTGGCTCAGTGGATTGAGTGCTGGCCTGCGAACCAAGGGGTCGCCGGTTCGATTCCCTGTTAGTGCACATGCCTGGGTTGCGGGCCACGTCCCCAGTAGGGGACTTGCCAGAGGCAACCGCACATTGATGTTTCCCTCCCTCTCTCCCTCTATTCCCCTCTCTCTAAACATAAATTAAATATTTTTTAAAAATTAAGGGCTTCCATTTATCAGCAGAAGCCATTAAAAGTGAAAAACAAGGATATGAACATATATAACCAACCAAGGGCTGGATTTTAGAGTATATGAAAACCCACACAAGATAAGATAATCATCTCAGTTAAAAAATGTAGATTTGGTAATGTACTTCCCAAAAGAAAGTCTCAGAATCCCCACCGAAGGTACTTTAAAAAGTACTTCTTCTCACTAACAAGCAAATGCACACTGAGCCCGCAGCGAGCACCGCGCACACGCCCCAGAAGCCCCGCCCTGTCCGTGCCAAGTGCCCTCTCGGTGGGAGGGGCTGCTGCCGGACCCGCGCACGGCTGGCGGGCGTGGAGACTGGTCAGACCGTTTGGAAGCCAGTCTCACGTTACCTCCCAAAGTCCAGCGATTTTCCACTCCCACGTCTCCACCTGACAGAGTGGGCATATATGTATGTCCGATACATGATACATACATTATGTACCTAGCAGCTCCGTTCACAACTTGGCAGGGGCCAGGAGTGACTGCCTGGCACCAAACAGATAAATAAGTGGAGGACTGAGCAGCTGTAACAGTGCAAATGCAGCTCCTGGGCACAGGTGGAGGAAAAGAAGCCAGACGCACACACAAAATGTATAGTACAGAGTTTTGGCCAGTTTAAAAAAGCAGCAAAATTGTAGTTTAGGGACTTGTGCCTCGGTGGTAAACACTGCAGAACAGTGAGGGGATGAGCACCATTAAAGAAGAGAGGTGATGTTTCCTTGTTGGGGTGGGATGTGTGGGGGGTCACGAGGGGCTCCGGGAACGTGAGCACTTGGCCTGTCGTCACCTTCCTGATAGTGATGCAGGCGCTCCCTTCGAGAGAGTTCCTTGCACTGGCTGTTTTTGCACAGGTACTTTTCTGTGTATGTGTATGTGTATGTGTGTTATATATGTCTTACAGTAATAGGATTTTAAAATTGGCTCACAATATATGTTCATGTCTTATGTTTTAGAAAAGTTTTAACCTTTTCTTAGAGTCCAACAACCTAACATTTTGAGGCACTTGGTCACAGTTCTTAGGGTGTGTTTCTACTCCCTGTGTTTGGTTGGATCTCTGGCTCCTGGGAAAGGAATGTGCCTGGGTCACTGCACCCAGGAAGGCCTTGGCTCATCGGGAGCGTGCTGTGCAGCAGCCTCATTCACACCCAGGGTGACGTGTGAGGGGTGTGGGCAATGGCCCATGGCGCGGAGGGCCTGGCGTGGGGCCTGGCGCTCCCCGAGAAGGAACAAGGCAGACTATGGGTGAGCCGCATCTGCTCGGGAACTGTGCAAGACCGACCAGTCTGGCCGTGCTCTCAGATGCTTTGCTCTCGGCTGTCCCATTTGCAGGAATGGAAGACTGGGAAGAGGAAGGCCGAGAAGGATGAGCTGGTGGGTGTCATGATATTCTCCACCATGGAACCAGAGGCCCCTGACTTGGACCTGACAGAGATGTAAGAGATACTGCCAGACTAGCCTTCTCCGAGGTGCCCGCCTCCTTTGCCCCCGGCCTGGCCAGCACGTAGGAGTGTAGGACATGAGTGGGGCCTTGTAGCCAGAGGACAAGGAGAGCGTCACCGGTGCCCGAAAGCACGTCTTTCCAGCCAGAACCCAGAGGAAGGCCTCCTTCCCTTTTTCCTTGAAGTTTGTGATTTCGGAGCTGACACAGCTCTGGCCGGTCCTTACTCCCAGCACCGTGTGGTGGGGCGGAGCAGCCCACAGCCAGGCCACGCCCACACCCCCGGTCAGCAGAGCGGGCTCACTGTGGACATTGCCTGGAAGAAAACAGCCTCCGACCCACTTTTTTGGGCTCCTTTTCTGTTGTTTTTAATCACAGCATTTTTTTAAATGTAGGCTTGGCTGGAAATCTAGAGTGGTTTCTTTTCTAAATAAGGACTAATAGAAAGGCTTGAGTTTATTTTAAGAAACTTTTCCTGTAAAATCATTGCTTTCTTGTTACCAAAAATATGAATGAGAAAAAGAACACGGTCTTCTGACGACCCAGAGAGAACATCGGTGTTAAATGTTGGTCCTCGTCATAATCTCCCAGACCCTCGCACGCATGTGTCTGAAGGAGGCATTGTTTAAACAAAAAGGGCCATTCTCCTTTGTAATTTTTCTTTTTTAAATCTAAGAGTGTCATAGTGACGATCTTTTTCAGGTTGGCAAATGCTTTTTACGTCCTTACCTGGCATGTTCGGTTCCACCTTAGATCGGCCATTTCGACCTTTGTCATCGGGTAGCACACCCAACTACTAAAACTCTGGGCACTCCAAAAACAATGCGTTTTTTTGCTGATTTGACAAAACTAGGTATAATTTTTATTAATTCACACCGAATGGCTATCGTGTTGGCTGTTGTCATTTTTTTCATCTGACCATCTAAGGGCAGAGAGGTCGGTGCCCCTGAGTAGACAGTCAGGTGCCGCGTCCCTGTCGTGCAGCAGCCGAAAACCGCTGCCTTGGGTGGTTGTGCATCTGGTTGTTTTCTGTGGTTTGCTGTCGGAAGGAATGAACACCTGCCGTTAGCCATGTTATTGTTTTGTGGCTTTGAGGGTACCTCCCATGATTGAATTTCACTGGTAAAATATTTAAAAATGAGGATTTTTTTTAGAATAAATTTATTTATCATTCACAAGCAACTGAGGGGGACAGGAAGCAGAGTAAAATATGAATGACACGTCGCTAAGTATTTCTTTAAAAACCTGGGTTGAGCCCGTTTTAATGCTGATCTACCTGAAGGGCAGGTACCGTAAGACGAGAACACGAGGGCCTGTGGTTTTGCTCGGGGCAGGCGTCCCCAACAGCATTGGCGGTTCTCCTCCCGCGCCGGACGCTGGGCCTTGGGTAGCTAAGCCCAGGACGCGCCTTCTTGTGCTGTCGCCCCGCAGAGAGCAGAAGTGCGATGCCGTCAGTAAGTTCACCAAGGCCATGGACGACGGCGTGAAGGAGCTGCTGACCGTGGGGCAGGAGCACTGGAAGCGATGCACGGGACGTGAGTGTGCCGCCGGCTCGCCCATCTGCGGGGGCGGCGGGGGGGCCCCCGACGCCTCAGACGGAGTCCCATTCAGTGACCTGTCCTCCCGAGTCGTGTCCTCCCCCGGCTCCTCGGTGGACCCCACTCCTCCCTCCGAGTTACGTAACGGACAGTGGGCTCGAACAGAGCCAGTCAGGAGCTCTCGTCAGAAAACACCGCCTTCGCCTAAATAGCTCCAGTGCTTTGGGGTATTGTATTCGTGGGAAATTACAGGAAGCCTGTGGTTATTTTTAATCTCACGATTCCACCTCTTAATCTTCATCCATTGGTAAGGTGTCGATGTGACGGCTCTGATTTTCAGGAAGAACCGGTGCAGTTGGTAGAAAACCTAAGACGGGTCCTCCTGGGCGCGCTGCCGAGGGCACGTGGCACCGTCGGCCATGCTCCCCGCCTGCTGCTTCCCCGTCCTCAGGGGGCTGCTCGTGCCCCGATTTCCCTTCATCTGTGCAATCATTCCGCTGAACCAGGTCCTGTGTTCCCCAGAACCACACAGCCCTGGGGGCAGGTGGCCCAGCTGGAAACACGTGTCCGGCTGTGGGGCCCAGCTCGGCATGCGCCCTGTTCCTCCTGAAGGCACCGAGTCTCTGGAGGTCGGGCCCCAGTGGCGGTCACACAGGTGTCCCTGACTACCTCAGAGGTCAGGACGTGGGTCCCTGAGACATCTCCTCTGCCCTAGTTGCCAGCACTGCCTCCTGGGCCTCAGAGAGAAACCCCAGCCTTCTGAGCTCCAGGGGTGGCCCCCGCATCAATTTCAGCTGAACAAGGTCCTGTTCATCTGTCACTAGAACCTGCAGGAACACTGGTTGTCCCCAGTTATTTTTTTAAATAAAAATGGCTTTACTTTGCATTAAAAAATAATACATACCCACTTTTAAATTGTGTCAATAGTTTGGTACTTGGTGTAGGAAAGAGATTAAATTATCTGTTTTTGTAAAGATTTTTTAAAGGCGTTTATTGTCTCTAAATAATGGAGAAGAATCAGGATTTGAAGTCAGAAAACAATTTTCACGAACAAGAAACTGAGTGTGAGTGACATGTGGAAGAACTGTTAAAAGAGCACAGCACAGCCGAGAGCAGTCCTGAGATCTGCTGGCCCAGAGGCTGCGGTCGCTCGGGAACTGGCACACCCCGGCCTGCGGCCAGATCTGGCCGGGGCCGCCCATTTCTGTAGTGAAAGTGCGGGGGGAACGTGGCTTCTGCTAGAGAAGCCGCGTGTAGGGCCCCCCTGTGCACGCCTGGGGGGGGGGGCGACATGGCTGCTCCTTCCCCGCAGAGGAGGGCAAAGATGTGTTTAAGGGGACTGTGTACAGATGCAAAGAAAACCGCCTGATTACAAAGGCTCTTCCCTGGGAAGTCCTCCGAAGTGGCCCGAGGATTCTGGAGTTTTAGCACTAGAAGGGACCTTGGAGAGCAGGCAGCCGGTCTGCTCAGTTTACAGATGAGAAGACTCAGGTCTCTCCTCCCTGGTCCTCTGAAGTTCTACTGCCCTTTTCCTCCACATCTCAGTGCTTTCAGGGTTTTATTTTGTTCTGTTTTGCAAATAATTATTCACACATATGTAACAAGGTGGGGAAAGCAATGTGATTGGAATCACGAGGGCCAAACCCACCGTGTGTCAGCCGTGCGACCCTGGGCAGGGCACCTTACTTACCCGACCCTTGTTTTCCTAACCCGTGAGGCCGAGGGGTCCCTGGGGTGCCCCAGTGGAGTGGCCTCTGCAAGCGCCCTGCGCGCTAAGCGCCGTCTTCCGACGAGCTGCTGGGCCAGGCAGATTCCGTGCACTGGGCGGGAACGAGGGTGGCGGCGGCCCTGAGCAACAGCATCTACCGTTCATTGGCTGGGTGGTTAATTACAGGTCGGAAGAATTTGTTTTTAAAAACCAGTAATTTAAAAACACAGTCATTTCATTAAGGAATATGGACAATTTTGAGTCACGTCAAGTTTCTATTACTAAGGAAAACAATCCGTTTTAGAAAATAGCCCCATTGTGGAAACCGAATCCCGTGTCGGTTTGCTCGGAGGACTAGCTGACGGTTTCTTTCTCTGTCTAGCGTTACCCAAGGAGTATCAGAAGATAGGCAAGGCCCTGCAGAGCCTCGCGACGGTGTTCAGTTCCAGTGGCTACCAAGGTGCGTGCGTCCTCACTCATTCACTCCTGGGCCTTAGTGTCCTGCCCAGCCCGGCGGCCCTCTTCGGGCCCCGCAGACAGGCAGGGAGTCTGCAGGTGAGCACCCGCGGCATCCACTCAGGTTGGCGGGGCTGCCCCGCCCAGGACTTTGACAGCTTCACCTTTTGAGAAGAGAGGAGGGTTGTTACTTGTATTTTCTTGCTAGCTCCTTTGCCCCTTTTTTTGCAGAGCTCTTGTGTTTTAATGAAATGGGTGGCTTTGCACGTAGCCCCTGCCCTGCCTCCGTCTCTGCCAAACTGAGGTCAGGTCAGGTCAGGTCTGCCCCTTACCAAGGCCAAACCTCATCGGGGTCATTTGAAGGAAGACATTTTGAATAACAAATTCACGTTGTCTTCATTCTCTCCATAACACGTAATAGTTTTCCACTTACTCCACGTCGTGTGTCTCACATGAGGTGTTTCTGGTCCGTTGTGTGTTTGTGTTGATAACACGTAGGAGAACAAGTTCATTGTCTTCCCTTACAGTTTTAATCTGCCCTGGGGAGCAGGCAGGAAATAAAAGTGTTTGTTACGTGAGGGATGTCTGTTAAATGTATGTCCTGTCAGTCACAGAAATGACGGAATGGGCGCTTTCACCAAGGCGTTCATCCTGATACCCAGCGCACATGGGTCTGTGGATGCCGCGTGTGAGTTGTAGGAATAAGAAATCACTGTCATCAAAATTTAAGATTTGGGGCTCCTGTCTCGGAACTCAAGGCCCCATTGACTGACTTCTCCCACGTCAAGGGGAATGAAGGTCAGCAGTGATGAGTTCAGTTTCTCACCACGGGGCCCTGGGCTCAGATGCGCGGGTGTCCTGGGGCAGTGCCACCCTGTGTCGGCACAGTGACAGTGCTCTCCGTGCCTCGGGTGCCCGTGAATGGGACTGCCCGTGACCCCCGGCAGTGTGCACGCTGACACGGGAATGCTGCGGAGATGGTGGCCCCGCACAGGCCGGGGAGGCGTTCATGTTCTTGTGATGCGTCATGGAAACAGAGCGGATAGATGTTGAGGTGGGATCTGTAGGGAGGAAAGGGACCGATAAGGAAGGAGCTGGACTTCCGGTCGTGTCTTTTTTCGGTAGATTTGACTTTGGAAACGTGAGTGTTGTACATAATCATTAGAAAACAAATTTAAGTCAAAATGTTTTTAAAGACTCCTAATAAACAAAAGCAAAATAAAACAAATGACTTGATACATAAACATGAAGGCGTAACCACATAAAGGGGAATTACTTCCACTCACCTTAAAACACTGTGTTTTGACCACACATCCTTAATAGCAGATGCCTTATGGTGTAAAAAACTGCAAAGACATTTTTAATTATTCTCAGTAGTGCTATGAGTAGCAATACTGGTATTGTGATTCCAAAAATTCTAAAGTTATTTTACGTGTTGTAAGGGAAAGCAAATATGTAATTGTGTTACTGTTGTTAATACTTGAGATTTTAAATAAGAGATAAAAATAAAAAGTTTTAAAATATATTCAGAAAAACCCTGTTATCCTAGTTTTGAAGTGGAGATACCAGTATAAGCTCACTTGTGTTTTTCTCTTCAAAACTGCGAGTTTGCTTTGCTCTGTTGACTGAAAACACTTATGACCAATGACCCACCCGCCCAGTGGGAAGAAGCACCCCCCCGCCCCCCACCCTTATCACCCACTTGGTGATCTCTAGACACCGGGTTCCACCAGACGAGCCAGGTTTCTGTCCAGCCAAAGAACTCTGACTCCCAATTTGGAGGGCTTTCCCGCAACTGACCAGTAAAGGAAAGATTTGAGCATTAGTGCAAATAAGCATTGCACTTCATTCATTGGAATGACACACACCAAATATGTTTAAATCCTTGTTTAATGCAGTGGTAGTTCAGGAAATGTTAATCTCGTTTACCTTTGGAGCATGGTGGGGGATCAACTCATCATTCTAAGAACTGTAAAGAGGAAGAATCAAGCATTTAGTCTGTGCCTCCCGTCCCTGTCCCTGGAGGTTAGCCACAAAGCCCAGGAGGAGAGCGTCTCTGAGCAGAAGTGCTTCGGCTCAGGGGAGTGGCGGGGGTGGAGGAGCACCGTGTGTGCAGACCGCACTAGAGCAGCACCGGGGCGGCGGCCGTCAGACGCAGCCTCTAACGTCACACAAAGTAGAAGAAACTAGGAGTGTGTCCCCTGAACCTGATCAGGCCTCTAGATCTAACTAGTGTGAAGAAAAGACGGGGAACAGCGGGCTGGGCCGTCGCAGCAGGGACAGTGGGCCCAGCGCAGATGGCCCGGTTCCCTCCGCACACCCAGAAGGGCACTCTGCACAAGAGGGAGCGGGGAGGGGGCCTGTGGGTCTAAGAAACACGTGAGCTTTGTGTCCGTGGACATCCCTGCACCCCAGTCCAAGCCGCCAGCATGACTCCAGACAGCAGAAAGCTGCACAGTGACTGATACATCAAGGACAGTTGTCTCATCTTAATCGTGATGTGTATTGTCCTTATATTCTGGGTAAAATCTGTGGATGAAATGTTACGTGGTCAGTGCAGGGGGAGGTGGAAGAGGACGATGCAGGTGGAAATGCTGCCCGTGAACTGCTCACTGGGCAGCTGGGTGATGGGTAGATGGGGATTCGTTATACTGTCTGTCTAGTTTTGGAAGTGTGAAGTTTTCTATAATAAAATTTTTAAATCAAATGAATGGAAAACAGTGTAGCTTACAACCGCTGAAAACTGTAATGACTTTCAGGTGAAACGGATCTCAACGACGCGATAACAGAAGCGGGAAAGACTTACGAAGAGATCGCCAGCCTTGTGGCAGAACAGGTATTAACGTGACCGCTCAATTCCAGTGAAGATTTCATGCCATCTGATCCACATTTAATTTAAAGTTGGTTTTAAGACAGACTTTCCCAGTGGGTATCCTCTTCCGTTCTTCCGTATCTGTGTTAGTTGTGGTTGGTAATAGTGTTTCTTAGTTCAAGCTAAAGGGACGGATAAGGTTGTCAAGAAATCTGAAAGAATGCCTTCCAGTGTCAAGGGCCCAGATCTGTCCTCGGTCCTCAGGGGTCAGAGAGCGAGGAAGGCTCCCTGCCCCTGTTTACGGGGCCTGCACTGAGCCTTGGTTTCCTTGGCTCGGGAACAGCGACGGTGGCACCTGCCTTGTGAGGAGCTGGGAATCCGGCCGCTGGTGCAGAGAAGGCACCGCCCAGAACACGTGTCTGTCACAGAGCGTGGCCTAGACGGGAGGCGCCAGCGGCCGGTCTCACTTCCTTCCATGGGAGTGAGTTCCTATGAGGGGAGCAGCTGTCTGCCCTGCTGCAGATCCCTACACTAAAAAACAAAACGAAAACTCGCCTGTCGTTAACTGTTCTCCGATACTTGTAGAGGAGAGGAACTTTTAGATCTGTGCGTGACATAGCTGTAAAAATTATAATTCAGGAAAATGAAAACTGTTAAAGGTGTCACTTAGAATGACTACTAGATTTTTTTAAATACATATTCTCTGCTAGAATTTAGACATTTAAACTTGAACATCTTATTTTCTTATGTGTAAACGTACAGTCCTAAGTGTTTTGGTGTTATTTTTCCTCAGGGTATAATATTTTGGGCCACCTCAAACTAGCTAATCTCACCAACCAACTGAAAAATTGCCTGATGTTTTCATTTTCTTTACACCCTCTGGTTGAAGGCACGGTGGTCTTGGGGATTGTTTCCTTGTAGGAAAACTGACCTGCAAGCTTCACACTGAACACAGTGCGGGAGGATTTGGCTAATCCAGCCTCCGATTCGAGTGTCCTTTCCCTCGATTGTCTGCATTCCCCGGCCGGTAACAACCAAGCTGTGTCTCGTTACAGCCAAAGAAAGACCTGCACTTCCTGATGGAGTGTAACCACGAGTACAAGGGCTTCCTGGGCTGCTTCCCCGACATCATCGGCGCACACAAGGTGACTCCACCGGCGGGTTCCCCAAAGGCGGGGGGCCGGGGGACCTCTCAGCCACTCCCGGGTCAGGAGGGGCTTTTGGGGGGCGGAGGGGGGGGTGGAAGTCTGGGAGTGTTTAACTATCAGGATCCTGTCACGTAGTTCGGATAGAGGAGCAGTTTTTAGTTTTTTTTATTCCATAAAAATTATTTTGATGGAATTAAAAATACGAAAACTTTTTCTTTATCCATGCAGTTAGGCATCAAAACAATCCTAATGTTTGAAGTTCAAGGCAGCAGTAGGCGCACTCTTTCCCTTCTCGGTGATGCCCCCGAGCCCCGCAGCAGCCTCCCCGGTGAGAGCAAGACGGTCCCTGCTGGTGCCGTCTGTTCATCCAGTCCAATGAAGAGGAAACGGTCATTCCCATCAAAAAGGCGCTTTTAAACTAAATTTAAAAACTGGCTGAGGGTATCTTCACATTGCGATTCTGGTTAATTTTTTCTCTGTGTCAGAATTGTGTGTTACCTCTAATTTGAGGTATTTTACCCACAGCAGTACTCGAGGTCGTGACGTACTTGGACTTGTTGGGAAGCTCTCTGCACGGGACTGGGCTGTGTCCGTTTCAGCCTTTGGCTTTCTCATCGAAGCGTGTGGAGGCTGCATAGGCAAATTAGAAAGTTTGTGCAGCTTCAGACACTCGATGTAAAACTCTGAACATCTTCTCACCCATTCACCCGTATCTTTGCTACTTTAGATCTTTTTAAAAACATATTATTTATTTTTAGAGGGGAAGGGAAAGAGGAAGAGTGGTAGAGAAACATCAATGTGTGGTTGCCTCTCATGTGTCCCCTACTGGGGACCTGGCCTGCAACCCAGGCATGTGCCCTGACTGGGAATCGAACCGGCAACCCTTTGCTTCACAGGTCAGTGCTCAATCCACTGAGCTAACACCTGCCAGGGCCCTATCTTTGCTATTTTAAATCATGTCGCAGTGACCTGGGAATGCTGTGTCTGTTTGAGACGGGGACTTGGTTTCCTTCCAGTATGTCACTGAAGCAGAATTGCCAGGAGAGGGGATCTCAAGTACTCTCATCACAAGACAGAAAAGTGCTGTAGCTCTGGGAGACTTAACCAGGATTACCGTGGTGACCGTTCCACAACAGATACCTGTATCAAGTCATTATGTTGCACACCTTAAGTTAATCCAACAGTGTATGTCATTATATTTCAGTGAAACTGAGAAAGTAAAGTTAGTGAAGTTAAAATGTCAGTTAAAAACATACCTCAGAACAGTCAGCTTGTCGTGGGAACCTGTGCCAGCAGAGTCAGAGTTCCAGACGGGAGCCTAAGTCACGCACGAGAGTGGAGGGGTCTTCCCGACGGCCGGGAGTAACGGGCACCGGGAGGCCCTGCAGCTGGGGTCCCGGCGGCTTTCACAGCTGCTCCCGTCACAGTGTCGACTCGAACCCCACTCAGCGTGTCTCACGGAGATCACGGCGCAGAGCTCAGCCTTCTGGCCGGCGGCTCACGTGCACGCGCCAGCCTGTGAGATCCTCCCTGTTAGTGCCGGAGAGATGGGCAGTGCTCGCTCCCGAACGACTGTGTCCGCCCAGCGCCTGCTGCCCCACGTGAACTGCTCTTATCCAGGCCTTACACGTATTCCAGACCAGAGTGCTGTCTGGTTTCCTACCTCGTCGTTAACATCAAACGGCAAATCTTAGCTCAGTTCCATCTTTCAAGTGACTTGAAGGAAGTTGTATTTAGATGCTTTCCTATGTTTTACTCTGGGGGGGAGTTCTCTGTTCAACAGCAAGTCAACTATGAAAGATGGTGCATTGTTATAGTTTAAATTGATAACTAATCCTTTTAGCTCCATTTTACTGATGTCGTTTAATTTCCACAATTCACAGGGAGCAATAGAAAAAGTGAAAGAAAGTGACAAATTGGTGGCAACTAGTAAAATCACCCCACAGGACAAACAGAACATGGTGAAGCGCGTCGGCACAATGTCCTACGCGTTGCAAGGTGAGAAGGTTTACATGTAGCTGGTGGGGACCGATTTCCCCCGCGAGGTTGCTGTCTTCCCTGCAGTTAACTGCTGTTCCCAGATGTGGACAGCAGTGAAATAAGGGCTGATGCAAACTGTCCTTGCAAGCCTGTTGTTCGCAGGATCTCCTAGCCACAGCGAAGATGCCTTTACAGCCTGAATATCAGTGCCTCTCACAGCGCCGTGTTAGGTCCCCAAGTTCAGCTCCTAGGTGTCTGTGACCTCCACACCCAGGACTGTGGCATGCAAAGGAGTGTGGAGGTAGCAGATGGGCGCAGTTTGCCAGTAAGAGGAGGATGCTGATTTTTACGTAGTTGAGTGTCCCGGGCACACAGGAGCAGGGGATGGATTTCTCCTGTTTCGGTGGACAGGTGGAGTGTCCGTGGGCAAAGGAGACAGGGGAAGGACACTCCAGTCTGACGGGAAGCACAGACAACGGGGGTACAGGGCCATGTCGTCGGTCACGGGAGAAAAGCTCACCTGTGGGTTACTGGGATAAGCCGAGGTGGCTGTGGAGGGCTCTGAGAGCCAGGCGGGAGGGTCTAGACTGGATGTGGGCATTGGGAAGTCAGCAGAAGGTTCCCAGGAGGGGCAGAAAGGCGATGCTCCATGGAGGAGGGTGTGCTGTGGCACAGGACACGCTGGCGGGGCGGGGTCTGTCCGACCTGCCAGCCTGCAGCCACCGCTCAGGCCGTCGGAGACTCTGGGGGCTGAACGTGAGGCGGTGCTGGGGGAAGAGAACAGACACGTTTGCAAGCTTCTCCCAGGAGCAGCCCCCGGGGCTGGAGAACTTGCGGGGGAAAGAAGACGTGTGCGAGACTCCCAGGACCGAGAGGACGAGAGCAGAACAAGGAATCCTGAGTGCTGATCAGGGTTTCATAGGGTTTGAAATAGGGAATTGGTATTGAACTTGTGTTTGGGGTTATCCACATAGGTAAACGAAGAACTGTATACAACTTGAGACAACTTAGTGTGGACCTTAGCACAGTTAGCTCTTCGTAGGAGTCAACGCTGGCAGTTGGCTTTCTGGGCCTGGAATGGAAGGACTGGTGCAGTGGGGCCGGGTGGGGAGGGCTCCGATGAGGAGGCTTCTGCAGGTTGTGGTTGGCGGTGGGGGGGCAGGGGAGTGACATCGAGAAACACATTCCAATAGGGACTTGTTGCTGAGTGGATCTGTCCAGCAACGATGAAGAGTGGCCATCAAACCTTCTCCCCCAGTAAGGGGAGGATTTCGGTGGGCCCTGGTGCTCAGGGGCGGTGAAGCCCCATGAGTGCGTCTGCTCATCGGCCCACCTTGCAGAGGCACCTTGAGAGGCCCGTCCTGGCTGTCTCTGTGCCCGGAGGAGCAGAGAAGTCCGCTGTAAACAGACTTGAATGTCCGGACTGTTGCCATCTGCAGGGAAAACAATGACCAAGTCAGTGGTCACAGCAGATCGACCGGTCTCCGGTCACAGCAGTCCACATCTGGGTGATCATCTGCTTGGGGTGTCATAGTGTTTAATGTGCAAATCAACAGAAGTCATCCGTTCCCTGGAATGTGGTGTTTGCCCTTCGCTGTCCTGGTTGTTTCGTAGCCTCTTTATAAAGTGATTTCTTGGGCGTCGGCACAGCCCTGAAGCTGAGCAGAGTAGACCTGGCTGGTGATGGTCACCGAGCAGAGAAGCCAGGTGTCGCTTTGAAGTTGGGGGGCACTGACCGCGGTGTTGGTTTCGGTTGCAGCCGAGATGAACCACTTCCACAGCAACCGGATCTATGACTACAACAGCGTCATCCGCCTGTACCTGGAGCAGCAGGTGCAGTTCTACGAGACGGTGAGTTGGCCCCCAGCCTGGCCGTCTGTGCCCACAAGGCAGGATTCCCACTCCCAGACTACAGCCACGTAAAGTTAATCTGTCTGTATTTTTTAAGCCTGAGATTAAACCCAAACAGGCTATAAATATTGAGTAGGGTTTATTTTAATCTCTTAATTACCTCTGCCTTTTCTTTTAAATAACACTGGGTTTTAAAAAAATGTTTTCTTTTGAAAAGGGGTCTTGGGCACTAGTAACAGGGGCCCCAGAAAGACTGGCTTGTGCAGCTCCCCGCCTTTCCATGCAGGAGCGCAGCTGGACCTATGAGGTCACCCTGCCCCCGCAGGCCCCTCTGGCACCACGGCTGGCGTTCTCTGTGAATGAGGCCTCACAGTGCAGGCAGGGAGAGCAGGGCCTTCAGTACTTCCATTCAGAAAACAAGAAAGCAAACGTAAACTTCTGTGCCCCTGTGTGGCAGTTCCGTTGTTTGCTGGAGTGTCCAGGAGACAGCTCCAGCGGTCAGCGGGCACCCAGCCCTCTGAGGACAGGCGCTGTAACTGTGCGACTGCCCGTGTCGGCTGCTGACACTTGGGCTTCTCACTCGGTTCTCCAGTCCTTCGTGGCATCCTCTCCCGGATGTATGTTCAGGGGTGATAGTAGGCAGGCCCGAACACACATCATGCGTGTGTGTCGTCTCTGGACTCGACGCTGCCGACTGTGTCTGTCTCCTCCAGCAAATCCTGGAAAGGCCGTCCTGGGTCAGCGCACGTTGTGAATTGGGTTGGAAACAGGTGGTTTTGGAGACAGGTGTGCAGAGAGCACTCCCAGAAGCAGTGCGCTCCCCAGGGTGTGCACTCAGCACCGGTGCCCTCGGACAGCTGCCTGGTGCCCTGAGTTAGGGTGGCAGGTGCCTGTGTTCTGGGTGAGAGGGTAGATGAGGGGCGGCTCTTAAAACTCTGATTGTGTTGATTCATTAAATAATTCTCAAGCCCAAGTGGGGTTTAATTATTAATGTCCTCGTAATTCAGAAGAGTAAACTATGTATGTAATCACTGTGTTTGTTTGACCGAACATAGTTACTAAAATGTGCGTATTTTTTCACGGAGCACACATTGATCATTATATACTGAGCACTGACTGCAAACACCCAGGGCCCAGGGACAACAAAGCCATCTCATGGAGCGCGTCTCCTTGGGGGAGACAGATGCACAGCATCACCTGCCTGGACAGCAGTCGTTCTAGGAGGACAGTGGCACTGCCACCCGCCGTAGCAGCAGAGGGGCGTGCTCCTCACTGGGTCTTAGGGGTTCCTAGGTGGGCCGACTTCCTGTGTCACCGGATCGTCTTGAAATGCTGCCTGGGACAGGGCAGGCCGTGCCAGGGACGGAGCGGGGCTCTCCCTGCCTGCGCTGCCGTTTAAGGAGGTCCCTCCAAGAGCAGCGTGGAAGCTGGGTTCCGGAACGGCCTAGATGCATGGACCCCAGGGTCTGAAATTGTTAGTGTTCTTAGCTCAGAAGAAATAGAAATAACAGAGCCTCTGAAGTCGTAATGGAGGTGACATCTCAGGATTTCTGTTTCCCACCAGATTGCAGACAAGCTGAGGCAGGCCCTCGGCCGCTTCCCGGTCGCGTAGGACAGAGCGAGACGCAGCGAGACCCCGCGGCGCTTCGTTCTGACTTGGGGCAGTGCGGTTTAATACCCCCATCATCCAAAGGAAAGGAAGAGAACCAAAAAATTAATGGGGTTGCAAAAAAACGGCATTTACACTATGTACCAGCTTAAATGCATCGGTTATACTGTTGTCTTCTCTTCATTTCGACATCCGTTCTTTAAGCCCGTGGAAATTGTTTCTATTTTTGGAAAGTACTTAAAATCACCAAGATTTTGAATGGAAAATTAGAGGTTTCCCCACTGATATTTTATATAAAATTGTAATTTTTAAGTCACCCATAATCTTCCAGTTCTTACCCAAGATCAGATAATTACTAAATGCTTTCTTAAAAATATGAAATATGCCAGAATAAAAAATATGTTTGTATATATTTTTATAATTCTTTTCAGTGCTTTGAGATTCCTATCTCTTTAGGAAAATCTACATGCCTTTCACGGATATAAACGTTTAAGACTCAGTGCGTATGGTTTCCAGGAGAGGGAGCAAAGAGGGGCGGGGCCACTGGGGCTGCCCTGGGGCTCCTCCTGCAGAGGCTGCAGCTGGGCGGAGCGAGGTGCTGGGCTCCGGGCGTGCCTCGTTGTCATCTGCAGGGGTGCCTGCTCTCCACACACTTCCTTCCTAAGTAGGACGGGCTTTGTGCTGGGAGGAGTACGTGGGAGAAGTTGGAGTCAGTTTTCAAATACTCTGACTCTGCCGCCAGGGAATGATCCCCCCCACCGCCCCACCCCCCATGCTCAGGAAGGAGTGCACCAGGGTGGGTGCAGCAGGGACAGACAGGCTCCTCCTGAGCTTTTGACCTGCTTTAGTCTTTGGCTGCCCAGTCAGGCGCAGTGGGAAATGAGAGCAGGATTTGCCGCTGTCTGAAAAGACGAGAAACACAGTTTCGTAGACCCCTCGCATCCCCTCCGAACGGAAAAACTTAGGGACTGAGAGGGACCGTGACCTGAGAACTGTGCACTAGTCCCCGCCTTCAGGCGTTCTTCCTGACTGTGCCCCAGGCCTCAGGCAGAGCCCCTTGGTCACTGGGACTTCGGTTAATGGCCTGAAGCCCAGCCAGCAGCTTCCCCGATGGCCCAGGGCTCCGCCCTGCACTCTTGCCTTACACGTGAACCCCATGGCTGTCGCTTTTCTGGCCTGGCAACTGCCTTCCACAAAGGGGGACGTTCTGCCTGAATAAAGTGAAACCAAAAACTAAGTAGGAGGGGAGATCAAACAGACATGAAGGAGAACTTCGTGTTCTCCAGTTTCACGGGTTTTTGTTAATGTTTTATAAGTAATTTTCCCTACCTGATTTTTCTTTTATAAAATCTAATAGAACAGTGTTTATGATATGCCATTTAATATATGTACAAATTGTAAAGAATATGTATAAATGTTTACACAAATGTAAGAGCATGTAGAAGCCAACATATAAATAAATTGTTTAAAAAAACTGTACAGTAAATTCTCAAAACACTTTTTCAAAACATTTTCTGGTCTTCCTGTGTGATTTTTAAAAAACTGTTGCTGCTTCTTACCCTCTGCTGGAACTAGTCCCCTGGTGCCACAGCTGTGGCCGGGAGGAGAGAGCAGTGTCGCCGGGCGGGGACCTCTGGCGTTCGGGCCACTTCCTCCTGCAACCACGGAGCCTGCAGGGCCTGCTCGTCCCAGAACCACTTCCGCTCCGTCTCTGCTTCGGTGGCGCAGCAGCTGCTTCTCCAAAGGAGAGTAGTTACCTGCAGGGGTGGCACGGCTTTGCCCCCACCCCACCCCCCGCACCCTAAACGGCTGTGCCGTGATGCGCCCACAGGCCGCTGCAGGCTCCAAACCGCCTCCCTCCCTGCCTGCCACTCCACTTCAGGCCCAGGGGACCTGCGGGTCCGTGGCCCCACAGGGAGCTGCTTGCACGGCAGCCTAGACCTGTGGCGGAGCCTTGCCTCGTCCCGGACCCCACACCAGGTGTCTGCGTAGCCGGTGGCTCAGTCAGCTTGACACACAGCGTCCACCTCCTACGTGCCACCATCAGGATGAGAAGAAGGCCAGGAAAGGAAGAGGAAACTGGACCCCCAGATATCGATCTGACCGTGAGCCAGGAAAAGTACACCGAGTTCGAAAGTGGAAACTTGTCCAGCGGACGTGGATTCTTAGCGGACTCGCCTCCGGGCGGCAGAATGCGAGCAACCTGGTGTACCCTTCATTCTCTCCGCGTTCAGAAACATCACGCAGTTCTTGCATGTTGATGTTCTGACTTTTAATTGTTTGTGTCAACCTTTAAATATCACAGAAGAGCTGTGCATATGGAATAATTATAGTTTTTACAGGTCCCGGCAATGTACAAATAGTGGGTACTTGGAAGAGAGATCTTGAAGAGGGTGGGCGGAAGGCGCTCAGGCCCGGAAGGTGGGATGGGGCGGTCAAAGGTCAGTGTCTGCTTGTGCACAGGGCGTGTGATTGTGAGGGACGTTTACCAGAAAACTGTATTTTCTGAGTTTTTTAACAAAATGAGCTCGCTGTAATGTCAAACCCTTTTTTACTATTAGAACGATTGCGTTTCCCAAACCATCTGCTCCCCGGATGTCCGTTGGCTCCGACTGTGATCGGGCACCGGTTCTGCCCACATGCGCAGGTCGCGGTTCCTGCTGTTCAGTTCACCCCGTGTCACAGGCGTCATTGTAGCTTGAAGACTGTCCTTTCGGCAGAGGACCGCTGGTCATGTACACAGGTGTGCGTTGTGTGTGAGAGCCCTGGGCTCTGGTTGCCAGGCCAGGGCCGACATCTGTCACTGTAAACAAGTCATGGAAGCTGTTAATTCCTGGTGGCGGCTTCACTAACTTCACGTGGCTTCCTCACAGGAATGCATGAAGGAACATTCAGCCGGTCTTCCTCGGGGACTCCTGCAGGGCACTCCAAACTGACTGTCTTGTCTCTCTCCTCTCTCTCCTTTCTCTCCGGTGCCTTGCCCTTCAAATCCTGCCCAGCTTGGTCTCCCCGAATGCTGATTTCTGTCTCCTGGGCTCAGAGAGACTGAACCTCTATTTGGTTTCTGCTCCTGTCCTGAGCCTGGCATCTGCACTGAAGCAGTAACTCGGGGCGCACCCGATTTCTCCTCCCAGTGACCCTGCACTGCCTGTGTGTAATGTCAGAAACCTTGTTCGTGGATTCTGTCTTTTTAGTTAAGGAGGGTGAGCTGGCCTCTGTTACTCCCATCATGGCCGGAAGTGGAATGCCTGTGATTTATGTTTTAATTCTAAGGTGGGAGTAGTTTTCCCACTCACAGAGAACATCAGAGCTGGTGCTCAGAGCAGCCAGCTGAGCAAACCAGAGCAGCAGACTGGTTTGTGTGGGCGCCTGTGGACCCAGGGACTGGGGCAGCTACAACCACTGCTCAGCCAAGACCACGCTCCAAACACAAGTGCGCTAACTGCCCGTCGGACTTCTGGCTTCACAGCTGGAAAAACTACCCAGAGCATACCTGTCACAGGTGGTGGGGGGAGGGGCTGTGGAGACTTGCACATGCTAAGAGCCACCAGGTTTGCTCCTCCAGTTCGATGCCACCTTCAGGGAGGGCCGACCAGGGGCAGGGCCGTTGTTCAGAGTGGGGTCTGGCTGTCAGTCACTGTCCACCGAAGGAGCTTGATGACAAAGCACGTGCCCCCGCACAAGAGCTGGAGGAGACAGATGGGGTCCGGGGTAGCCGTGGCTGCCCAGCCCCTCTCCCCGAGTTTCCTGCACTGGGGCAAGAGCAGGCCTCCTCTTAGGGAACGGGGGGCCTGTTACCTTTCTGCCCTTGACCCTCCTCCAGAAACACCTCTTTTCTGAGTGGGTCACCGAACCCATGGAGAACATCATCATTTGGAGAGCAGAGAAAACGTGACGGGAGTAGGTGTTAGTTTAACATCCACAAGACCTTCCCAGAAATTAGATGGGGGCTGTGGTTCAGCAAAAAGGGGGGCCAGATACCACCCTGTCTTGTGCGTGCGTGAGAAAGGAGAAATTCCTTTAGGTTTCTATTTCTCTTATGTCTGAAAATTTTCAAAATATGAATTGTATAGGAATTAAAAATAGTAAGTTTACATTTTAAATTATAAATTTATAATGAAATATAGATATGAATCTAAACTATGCTTCTAGTTTTCTGTTTGAAAATTATCAAAATGGAAAATGTTTTAAATTGCTCTCAAAGTTTCCATTATATATAGTTAGCTTTGAAAAGTAAAGTGAAATTGCAGGTTACTAATGGTGATTCCCTTTTGAACATTAATTTAGTTAAATCTTCCAGTAACATGTTATAGCCAGTGTATCAGGGGTATTTTGAAATGTTTTGATGAAATAACAGAAAACTGTAAAAGTCTTCAAGTCTCCAGGGAGATCACCTACAGCTGAGGTGGCAGCTCAGCAGTGCCATCAGAGACCCAGGCAGGCAGGCTCTTCTTGTTCCATTATTCTTAGCATGTCAACCTGCTTTCTCATGATCGCAGAATGGCTGCAGCCACTCCAGGCTTCACACCAATACTCAAGGTAGGAAAAAACAGAGGAATCCACACCAGCTATTTCTGTCCCTTTTATAAGAGGCAAAACCTTCTACAAAAGTCCCTAACAAATTTCTGCTTAAGACTCAGTGGCCAAAACTATGTCACAGATTCCCCACTGGCTACAATGGAGACTTTTCCAGTCTCCTCACTTTGAGACAGACAAACGACAAAGGGGTTGGGTGACTGACCAGCAGTTTCTGTTGCACCTGGCGTAGCCAGCATCTGATACTCATTCTCGTTTAATACAGGGCATAATACTGCCTTAGAGACAACTATAAATTATTTTAATTCTTTCCACGTTTCATTTATTTCCTCCCAAGGCAAACACAGTGAGGTGGAAAGCATAGGAATGACTTCTGACCTGCTCCTGGGAGCACTGAAGCCCCAGCCCCCCACTTCTCCCCGGTGGTTTTTCCTATTGGCCATACTGCCGCTCTGTTTCCTTGTTTTATCTGTTTGAGAGGAAGCGTTTTTCCTGGTGTTCCCAGCACCCCAAGGCAGCACGAGTAGTTCTCCTCACGCGTGGACCCAGGCACAGGTCACTGGCACCTTCAGCCCAGCTCAGAAACCGGAGACTTTCGCGTCCCTGCAGCCACGGACATACTCCCACAGGAAGCGTGGGGGAGCCGTGGAGCGAGGGATGCGGCAGCAGAGAGAGCAATGCAGCTGTCTTGCAGACCTCAGGCTGGCTGTCTTAACCTCAACACTGAACATAAATCCATGTAAGACATCATGAAAGTAATAAATGACCTGCCGGAGTTTGGCGAGCACAGTAAAAAGCAAAAGGGGACCGTAGCCCAGGTCACCTGGTTCCTGTCCGTCCTGTGAGTGCTCACTTTTATTGCTTCCTGCAGA